CACACACACACACACACCCACCCACCCACCCACCCACCCACCCACCCACCCCCCCGCCCGCCCGCCCGCCCGCCCGCCCACCCGCCCACACACCCACACCCACACCCACATCCGCGCGCGCCAGTGCGCGGGAACGAAAGTATGAGTGCGAGCAGCAAACAATGATGCGCGAAACTTATTTAGTTGTTCGGTCCAATGGACTCTAAGCTATTCTATGTATGCTAACGGACATTATGTGGTCACTTCTCTACATTCTGGTCTCTTTTGGGGTCACTAGTACAAGGCGGCCGCCCCAAGTAGTTAGGCTACCCAAAAAGGGACCATGGTTTTGAGAACTGCCTATGTATACACATTTAATGCATATAACATTGTGCATGGGTTCCCATTCAAATCGCGCCACTCTTCGCTGGCCAGCCTGTCTCCTTGTCTTTCCAGGGCCCTGTCGCCCATGGGGAATTCAACCACCTTGGGCTGCTTCTACTTGAAGGTTCATGGGTGCTTAGAAGGTTATAAGTACCCTGCATAGGGTTGTAACCATAGTTATTGCCCTACTTATAACCCCACTTACAAGTACCCATCAACCTTCAAGTAACCAGCAGAGCCTAGAGAGCAGGCTCTGCGCAACGTACACCTACCAGTGAAGCCTGTGAGACGAGCCACACATCGTGCCTGACCCACTTGTTACCTTGGGTGAAGCCTGCGAAGACCAGCTCCGTATAGCCGGCGCAACCATCCAGGTTGCCAGGCTCTTGGCCAATCTGCTGTCCGCAGAGCTTCAACTCCTGAAGTGGTAGGGGTGCACATGGGGTTTGCGAAAACAAGGGGGTTGCGAAATAAGGTACCCCTACTTTCGGGAATCCCCATGTCAGGATCACAAACCGAAGAGACTTTTTGGGGCCCTGGTTGGCCATACTGCTCGCCTGTGTTTAGGGTTCTGGGCCAGCTGCTACAGGCCGTCGCCCGTGCAATAGCCTAGAAAGTCAGTCACACGGTCTCGTTCGTCCCTTAGCGGTTCGAAGCCCCTGGGCTATAGCGGCTATAGACTGAAAACAAGTGAAAACATCTGACAAGCCCTGATGCGGTCGGGGGCAGTTTTTATCACCTGCAGTCCTCATAGCGAAGGTCTGGAGCTGCAGGGCCAACAACTTTGTGGAGCCTACCTTGTACGGGAGAACATCGTGCTGACGGAAACCTAATCTTAAACAGCATTAAACAGCAACTGAAAGACCCAAAAAAAACCCTCAGACAGAGCTTCTGAAGCTCAATTCATCCGGGTGCGGTGGCGAGGGCAGATCTCCATTTGGCACTGCGCGCTGCACCCGTCAGATTCAGCAAGATGGGCCATGAGGTTGCTGTCACTGTGGTCACAATCCTCTCCTCCCAAGACATTTCGGGAGCGCCCACATTGGGTTTGGGATGATTGTAGGACCCGTCGTTTCTCACTTCTTCACTGCATGACTCACAGTACACACACGTCACACACCACTAAGCCAGCGATCTTCGTCTGTCTAGGTCGTTCGTCGCACCGTGACCTCTCAATTGTCCATACTCTTCGGCAATGGCTGTGATCTGTTTGCAAGATTCGCGCATTGATTTGGACGAAGCTTTGATTCTTGTGGGGGGTCATGCCATGGTATGCGGATGAAAGCAGTCCTAACGAACTGGAAGCATTCCAGCATCCGACTTTTGCGAATCTTCCGTGCAAATCGCGTAAACAGCAGGCGTCATCGGTGTCTCTTGGGCAGTGTCAGCGACCCTTACGCAAAGTCTTCCGCGAAGCTCCCGCAGGGTCCCATAAACTGTGCGTCGCGACCCGAAAAGGCCAGCAACAACAACGCAGCTCATGTCTTCTTATCAGACGCTCAGAAGGCGATGTGAAAGAAAGGCTCAGAGTTGCTGAAGGGGGGGGAGGGGCTGATGAAATGGCTTCAGGAAGCGCCGCGAGCTGTCTACACTTTCCCATGTTGGAAGACGCACTTGCTGAACCCTTAACTCACCCGAATGCGAGCACAACCTGCCTTTGACGATCTGATGATCACCGCACGTGCCGTGGCAGGCTTTGCCAGCAGAGCAGGTGTAGCCCGGGTTGACATTGCACTGGTCCTTATTTACTTGCACAAGGTCTTGGATTCTGCGGAAGGTCGTGGTTTGGGGTTGTGCGCTGTTTGTGCTGCGTAGCCCCAGAACAGCCTATAACAATCGCAGCCACAACAATGAAAGACTACACCATCAGCAATGTGAATACCAAGTATACATATTCAAATCAGCATGACTTTCACACGCGACAGTAGCCAACATGGAAAAATATGGCCAACGAGACTACTGCCGCGATTGGGCTTGGTGAATCTTGGTCCACTGCACAACGAGCTTCGCAGCCAGGTCCAACGGAGTCACACTCCTCAACGAAATCCACGATGCCATCTCCGCACTTGGCAGACGAGCGCTCAGTGGCTGCCTCGGGCATAAGGGTTCAGGGGTTGGAGGGCTTCATAGGCTTCATAGGCTTCATTGGGGTCTTCATGGTTTTAGGGGCTGAGGGTTTGTGCAGTTTGGGGTTTTCGGTTTCATGTCTGCAAGGCTTAAAGTTCTAGCTTATGCTGATTCAGGCACAGGGGCCTGTTTCCAGAAGGCAAGGGTCTTGGTCTTCAGGCCCTCAGTACGGGCCACGGCTGTATTGATGGGGGTGACCAGCGGGAGCTTCTTGTCTGCATAGTTGGACTCGGAGACCCATCCTGAGTTTCGATCATGTAAGGTCATTAAGGTCCTAAGGGCTGTAAGGTATTAAGGGCTCTAAGTTATTCAGACTTTTGGGTCCCTGGCAGCTAAGGACAAGCATCTCAGCGGAGTGGTGTCCACGATGTCGCTGAGGCCACGGGGGTCGCAGAGGTTGCGGACGCGTGTTTCTCCGTCGTGGCCCGTCCAGCAAATGAAGCCGCCAAGCATGACTTCTCGGAGCTCCTCATACTCCTTGGCGCTTGCAGGATGCTGCAGACATAATAGCAATTCTTTATTGTGACTATTGTTATTATTATATATTAATTATTATGTATTTATCTTCCATTTATTTACTTAATTATTCAGTTATTCAGTTATTTATTTATTTCTTCATTTCTTTATTATTATTATTATGAACTTGCAGGGTCTGCTTCGAGCTTTCTGGAGCGGTGGCCACAATAGTGACACGAGTTTTTTCAGAATTCTGAGCAGTTTTCAACTGACATTTGCCCTCAAAGGAGGGCCCCTGGCGGGCAACTTGTCTGAAAGTATGTTTGTTGACAACCGTTAGTTTGCTTCTCCCATGGAGTGCGGACTAGTTGTCAGTCGAGCAACCTTTCAACTGCCTGAATGTTCGCACGACCCCTGACAAAGTTTCTACTGTCTACTAGAGCACTGGCCACAATGCGAGAAGGCATGGCCAGCTGATGCTGGATCATCAGAATGTAGAGTCTACGTAGAGTCTCCACGTTTGTCATGGCAGATTTCACAGGACACGTTGAATTCTGCAGCTATTCCGACCCCAAGCCGCAAGCCCCCAAAACATGCTTAGCCCCTTGTGTTTCCTGTTTTGGGAGACGGGGGCAGACCCATATCCCTGCCGAAGCTCATGCCCAATCTCGCTGCACGTCTTTTCATTGAGGTCATGATACCAGCTGAGCCTCAGGAAGAGCAGAGAAGTCCGTTTTGCAGCTTAGGGGCGCTTTGGGGGTTTGGGGTTCAGGGCTGCCTCTCCAGCATCTCCACCGGTAATCAGTTCTCTTAGCTCGGAAGCTTCGACTCGGACGTCATGAATGTTCACATAGGTTCACCAACTCCTCCAAATCCTCAAAACCTCAACCTTCAAGCCTCCCCCCCCACCCCACCCCCCCCCGCACTAGGCCGGGCAGCGTGAAGGTCTGAAGCAACTTGGATGGCCGTTTCCTTGCCGGGGGATAGTCACGTTTCGACAGCGCATGCTCAGGGATGGTACGACTAGATGTGCAGGGCCTGCCAGGTTGTGCACTCCTTGAGCCTGCCCCTTCGACCCCAAGCTACCCACTAATTACCGATGCTCTGAAAACATCCTGCAACACCCTCTGTGAGCGCATCTGAGCGCGGCTTGGGCGCAGGATGACCCATGCATTTGGTGGGCCCACGAAGGTGTTGGGCTTGGACGCCGTGTTTCCATTCACGAGCCTAACGGATGGGCATAGGATTTCGAGCTCTCGCACTCGCAGGGGGCGAGGTTGCAGGCGAGGCTGAAGGCAAGAACAACGGTTTCGGGAAGGCGGTGTAGGGGAGAGCAGGGTGGGGGGTCAGGACTGCAGGATCCAGGGTCGAGCCATGGGCTGGCAGGCTCGTGCTTTCCAGCTTTGGGTCGTTGCAAGAAATGCCCTGCCTTGGGCCCTGGAACATCTTGGAACATCTTGGAACATCTTGGAACATCTTGGAACATCTTGGAACATGCCCCACCCTTAAAAGCTTGAAAATCCGCGTCTCGAGCCCTGTGCATGACCAGCAGCACGGTGGTGGTGGTCGTGGTGGTCGGCACCAGAGGCACTGGGCCCCAATTCACCAAGCGAGAGAGCTCGGTCTCGGCGAGATCCTCAGCTTTTACTTGGAGGTTCATGGGTACTTATAACCCCAACTATCAGTCTGCTTATAATCTACTTCGAGGACTTAGGGGACTTCGAGGGGGCCTTATAAGCACAGTCATCATTGGGGACAGAAGTACCCTGAACCTCCAAGTTTAGGGGTTCAGGTCTCAGGGCCTCCGAACGTCAGTAATGGCCTTAGGGTTTAGGGTTTAGGGTCGTTTTGTCAGGAAGGGGAGCCTCAGACTCTGCAAATCAGAAAGCCCTTTTGAACCTTGACCCGCAGCTGCCGCAGTGATTGTGGTCACGTGGAAGCGTGCAGGGAAGGTGTTCTGTTTCAGGACTGGGGGGTGGGGGGTTCAGGTGTGTTTGGGGACTCAGGGGTTGATCTGTGACTGGATGCGACGCACATTGTACAATTGAGCACTGGAAACATGAGTGTCTTCCTCGTGCGGGCATGGATGCTCTGCATATTCGCATCATCGTGGGGACATTGATGCTGTGGTCCATGAACGCGGCTGGAGCATGGACGCATTGAATCGAAAACGTCTAGAGGACTGCGAAACAAACAGTGTTGTCGGTGTATGAGGAAAGGAGTAGCAACGGCAAAAGCTCTGAGAGTGTCGGGTAGTCCTAATCTTGGGCGGATGCCCAAAACCCTTCTGCCAAGAGAACCCTGAACAGCGCCAAAGGGCCAGCAAGGCTGGCTTCTCGCACTCCTTGGGCGCGGGGGCGAAGAAGGGAACCACCTCGATGCACAGTTCGGTTGTGGGTTTCGGGACGGGACAGTAGGAGATGAGTGTGATCTTTGTTAGGGTTTAGGGTTTAGGGGTCTGGGTGGTGCCTGGGGGTTTTGCACAGTCTGGCATCCTAAGCAATTATCGCGGATGGGAAAACAATCCTTGTCAATGTGATCAGAGCTGCTTGTATACCCACCATACATGCCAAGTTTGAGGTTGGCCATGAGGAAACTACAGCTACCACTCAGTTTGTCACAGTTTTCTGGCTACCTGATGGAAATAAACATGCGCATGAGGTTGACTGCAACGTTGGCCGTAGCTAGCTAGCAGGCTGTAGCTTTCCGATGAACTCACAAAGGCCGCATTCGTGCTTCTGGCCACGAACTCCCCCATCCTTGGGGTTTGCTCTATGGACCCTAAACCCTAAACCCTAAACCCTAAACATATATGATACTCCCATCCCTGTTTCAGCTTCCTCTCGTTTTCCCTAAACTTGACAAAAGCCGACTTGCCTCATCAAGCACCTCCATCGTCACCTCCACCGAGCCTACGATGCTTTGCTCCTGGAGAGGACGTGGAAACACACTAGGGTTTTGGGTGTAGGGTTTAGGGTTTAGTAGGGTTTACGTGGAAAGGCCGAAAGTTGCTTAGGTTTGTTCTACTATGGACTTGGGGGTGCGTTTGGGACTTTGCAGCGGCCGCCTGGGAATTTAAGCACTTCGGGTCAGCTATACGACAAAAAGCACCTTCCAGCTCCAACCAGCTCCCCTGTGCAGCCTACTTATTAACTTCTTAGGGCGGCTTAGGGGTAATTCAACCCCTAAGCTCCCCCCTCAAAAAAAACCGCTCAGGGTTTTTCCAGGGGTTCGGCCGCCTCTGTCTGCAGCTTGTCGTAGAAGCTACGGGTTGACTCCATGTCGTAGATGATCTTGGACCAATCCTCCTGGAACCTGAGTTTGAAGCTTATGGCGGCTGGGATGGAGCTCAGGGATGGTCTCTCCATGTTTTCCACACAAAGGGCAGTGGATTGCTCTTGGGGTGCTAGAATCTAGAATCCGGAGCGGCATGCTCACCGGCAACGTGCCGAAAGAGAAGCTCAGTTCTCCCCCTTCCCAACTCGGGTGCCGATCAACAAAAAAAAACACAGACGCGCCGAAACTTCTTTGGCTGGCTTCGGCATATTGAGGAGTTCACGGTGCCAAGGAGCTTCCTGGCAGTGTACTCATCCGGAGCCATCCTGAAGCTCAAGGATGGGTGGGCGCTTCATACGTCAGGAACGGCGCGCTTTAATTTGTTCACAGACTACATTTCGCCAACGGGCACGTAACGCGTCGTGAATGAAAGCCGCGTGCCGACTTGCAGTCATAGAGATACATCTGCGTGGCCGCTGGCGCGTGACTTATTTCATGCTCGCAGTGTGCATGGTTCAATGGGCGATCCTCCACGATGCCATCTTATCCAGGAGCGTCTGGATCTGCGCATAGGAGGTGTAGAGGCTCTGCGTATAATGCCATGGGACCTGCTTTGTGGAAATTGAACAACTGCTTATAAAGCCCTACATGAGGAGAACGTGCACTAATAAGATAGTAGTAGTAGTAGTAGTAGTAGTAGTAGTAGTAGTAGTAGTAGTAGTAGTAGTAGTAGTAGTAGTAGTAGTAGTAGTAGTAGTAGTAGTAGCAGCAGCAGCAGGAGGAGTAGTAGTAGTAGTAGTAGTAGTAGTAGTAGTAGTAGTAGTAGTAGTAGTAGTAGTAGTAGTAGTAGTAGTAGTAGTAGTAGCAGGAATTAGTATTAGTAAGTAGTATAGTAGTAGTAGTGTATGAGTAGTCTCAGAATTAGTTAGTGTAGATACAGTAGTAGTATAAGTATAGTAGTAATTAGTAGTAGCAGTCGCAGTTAGTCATTAATCAGTAGCCTTAGTAGCAGTACAATGGTAAGCATAGTAAGCATAGTACATAGCAATAGTACAGTAACGTACAGCAGTAGCAGTAGCAGCAGGCATGGAGCAGACAAGGCGCAGGATGAGGAGGAGGAGGAGGAGGAGGAGGTGAGAGGAGTGGGAGAGGAGGAGGATAGGAGGAGAGGAGGCGAGGAATGAGGAGGAGGAGGAGGAGGAGGAGGAGGAGGAGGAGGAGTAGTAATAGGAGGAGGAGGAGTAGTAGTAGCAGCAGTAGTAGTAGAAGTAGCAGAGGTATTGTTAAGCCTGGTGATGGTGGTGGTGGGTCGTAGTGGCAACCTTAAACTAAATCACTGCCTACTTGTAAAATTGACCCAGTCAGCACCATGGGCTTACATCCTGCACCTGGTCCATCGCTTGCTTTATCTTCAGCTGGAAGAATCTGGCCGCTTCGGGTGTGAAGAGATACTTGCCAAAGGTCCTCGGGGCACAGAGTTCTACTGCGGTTTAGAACCACTTCAGGTCATTTTCAGCAAGAAGAACTGTGCGAAAAAACGTGGAAGATTGCTGGCTCTATTGTGTTCTTACAACGGGAAGGGCCTCCGCAATGGGAACCTGCCATCCTCGCATTGGCAGCTGTTGCTGTCTGCCTTTGCCGCTTCGGGATGGCATGCCGCCGAACAAGCCTTCGCGTGGTTCTTATAGATGACCTTTTCGTCCTCTGCGAAGAAGTCCACAAGCGCACCGCTTTGGAGAAGGCCTCGAAGCGCTTCCTTGTCGCTCTGAAGCTCATCAGCAAGTTCTGCAGCAACGTTCGTGAAGTGCAGCTTCGAGAAATGGCCATCTGCTGCCAGGTATGCAAGCTCACCTCGGTACATGCCGGAGCATCTGGTGAGCCGCAGAACATACATCGGCCTTGAGATGAACCGGAAAACGCCGGCTTATAACAACGAGAAATTTAACGAGGCATGCTAGGCACTGAATCGAGCCGTGGTCTCTTTCAAGGCAACCTGCAACGCTTCTTTGACCTGCAGGCTGATCCTACGGCGGTTTCTTGCTAACACTGAACGACTTCACCAAATCATCTCTCTGTCTGTGTGCGTGACTTTGGGGGGGGGGGGGGGCGTTTTGTACAAAACGAACATTCTTGCTCGGGTAAGCAGAAGACTCTCACTCTCTCATGTTGGAGTACCTGATCGTTGCGACATGACGCACTACTGTTGCGGCATGATGCGCTATCTGTACAACCTCGCAAGCCAAGCTCTTTCGCAAGTTACACCTGGATATTCTCAACATGATGGGTGTCATCTTGTCGCCGAGGTGGTGTTTCCGGCATACGGTATCCTATACGTGTAAAGTGCAGTCTGACGCAAGTGTGGTCGATGCACTGGCTGCCTGCCTTACGGAGGGAGCACAAGATGAGTAGCATCTTTATGTACCATCTTAGTTTCCCAGTAAGCTGGGGGAACTAAAGGTTAACCTTTGGGGTTATAAGGGGATCATATTGCCCCAAAAAAGTTTAAAGGTTACCTACTCTACTTACGAGGCCATCAAGCACAAGATTCGACTCACTCCTGCCTCGACCTCTGACGCATTAGCCGCCTTGCGGGCATCGAACAGCTCGTCTTGGTCCGCAGAGCAGAGCCGATACCTGGGCTGGTTGAGATTTGCTGTGTTAGGCAAATAGGGGGGGTTTAGGGTTTAGGGTACTAAAGCAGTAGGTTAACAATATCCCATGGGGCAGAGTCATAGTCTAGAGTCATCGTGCTTTCGGAGAGGCTCCGGAGCCGTTGCCGATACTACAAGCTGAGGCCTGACAATTTTTTCTGTTGAAATGTGTTCTAACTACTCGAAATGCTGATCGAGCAAAGCACGGTCGTGCAAGGCATTCTTCGTCAACCTTTGTCGTAGTCTACGCTTTGCGGGACAAGGGATGACACCCATGGTCCCTATCAAACAGAGGGATAACTTCACAGGATCCCTCGTTTCCCAGTCCTGTCATTTTGGGAAGTTGGGAAGTCTGACGCTGCGTAAGGATTTTGCTGGCTTCCTTCTGCACCTGCGTCTGCCGATTCACGTAGCCACGTTGCTGTTTCTGGACGGCCTGGAGCATTTGGAGCACGCCGTGCTGCTTCCTCGACACAACGCCGAAGTCCTGGGACTGTAGGCAGCACTACGCAGAGTCGCGAGTCCGGGGTCGAGGTATGTCGCAGACATTAAAATATGTGCAGCCCAAGTCGGTGCCTCACAAGCCCCCTCGCCCTTGCTGCGGCAGTAGCAACATGTGGCCTGTAGCCATCCTCGAAAACCTCCCGAGGAAAACCGTGCCCAAAATGACCCCTTGAGCTCCTGGCCATACCTCGAGTCTACGAAAGTACAAAGGGCGCGCCAAAGGGCTTAGGGTTTAGGGAGTATTGGGGCCTTCCTAGGGCCGTGCGGATGAGCTTCCGCAACTGCCCGGGTGATTGCCAGGGTTAACTTCTCGAACTCGAAGACAGCAGAGCGGAACTCCGCCTTGCGAAGGGCCAACAATGTGCTGCACGGGTAAACCCCAAAACCCTAAACCCCAAAGCCTACACCCGAAACCCAGGCTTGAAAACGCTCACACTCGGATTCAAGTAGGGCTTTAGGGTTTGAGGCTTTTAGGCTTTCGGGCTTAAGGCATCTGTTGTTAGACTAAGAATCGCGCCCAAACGATTCACTTGCTCAGGCGTGGCGGCCTCAGAAATCTTGCGGGGTATGGCATCCACCTTCTTCTCCAGGACCTGCCAGGTGCCATGAAACCACCCTGCAACCCGCTGAAGGACTCTTCCTGCGCCTGCAACATGACATCGGGGGGTTTCGGAAACTCGTTCTTCTTGCAAGGGAATCCTACTATTGGGGAATCTCCTTTTGGGGGGCCGACATTTTTTCGTCCACCCCCACAGCTCGCACCCACCAAAGATCAACCCCCAGAACCGTAAAAAATCCCCTCCTACATCCTAGACCCCCCCATTCCTCAACCCTCCACCTCTCCCCTGGAGTTGCCTCTAAGCGACACGGTCTCGGGGAGGAATGCAAGGGAACGTTACACGCACCCTTCTTTTCAAGCACCCACTCACGGTGCGGCCGAGGCTCATCAAGCTTCCGCATGATGGCAAGGAGGGCGGTCATCTGCCTCTGCTGTCCGACGCGGAGCTCTTCGAACTGCCTGGCCAAAGCAAAAACATGCCACAGGAGAAGCAAAGATCCTTAAGGCCCTGATGTCTAGAACCGCCAGAAGACTACGACTCTGACTCAAGCTAAGCAGTCGTCATGGCAGCTGCATGTGCAGCTTCTGGTGCTGCGCATGTTGTATTCAATATGACTTCATGTCGTCCACACGTAGTCTTTTGGTTTTGATCCCTTCCTATCCCTTCCTGATGGACTGGACCTCTAGCACATGCTGTAGTTTTCTGTAAATGGCGATTTCACTTCACCAGTGACGCATTCCTGGGACATTCGGGACACATGCCGTGCCAGGCTTCCCTTAGGGTTGTGGGTTCAGGGTGTAGGGTTTATTGAGGTGCGCACTCTCAAATTGCAGTCGATGTGGTCTAAATGTGTTTTGCTATTGGTTTACTAGAAATACAGGAAAGCCGCGAACCGAACCGCAAACGAACCGAACCGCCAGGAACCGCAAGCGCAAAGGAACCGTGTGAACCGTGAACCGCCGAAACCGCGACAAACACGAACCGCCATGGAACCGAACCTTAACCCCTCTAGCCAAACCAGCAGCCCTCCCTCCAGCCCCTTATCCTCCACCTCCATCCAGCCCAGCCCTCCATCCAGCCCCCATCCAGAAGCCCCCCATGCACAAGCCCCCCCCATCCACATTCACCCCCAGCCCGCCCCCCTCAATCCCCCCTTCATCGGCCCCTGCACTGGCAGTCTTCGCATCCCCTCGAGGTGTCCATCCAGCCCTCCATCCAGCTCCCCAACCCAAACCTCTCGGGGGTGGGCAGCTGAATGGATGGAGGGCCTCCAGAGTATGTACCGGAACCCGAAACGAACCTACACGAACCCTAAATATGGGTTTTCAGGCCCTTTAAGGGGAGCCGGTTGTTGCGAATAGTGAGCGATCCATCCGCGCCGCTTCCCCAACTTGATGAGTAGCAAGATGTCCGCTAGAGCTGCTAGCATTGCAAGCAATCTCTCTCCTCTTCGTACCAGAGTCCAGGGTTACACTTATCAGGAAGTCTACGTCCGAAGGCTGGCCTGCTCGAAGGAAAAGGGTTCTCTCAGCAGGTGCCGGTTGTTTCGGGATTCGGGCCTGTGCGACCACAGAAATGTAGCCAACAAAATGAGCAAACAAAGATGGAAGTTCTGAATAGTTCTGATTCTACCTGAACATGAAGTCGCCCTTCTTGCCAAAAACTAGTTTTGTTTGGTCTTGCCGCCCCGGCTACCCCGGCAACAGGCACAGCCCCGCGAACCCTGTGAAAAGCACTGCCTTGTCTTGGGATACAGATTAGAGTACCCCTGAACCCTAAACCCTAAACCCTAAACCTTAAACCCTAAACCCGAAATAAACCCTAAACCCTAAACCCTAAACCCTAAACCCTAAACCCTAAACCCTAAAGTACCCCCCCCCCCCCCCCTAGTAGAATCCCTCTTCAAGACCTGTTAGTAGTAGAAATCTACCCCCCAATCGCCCTGTCCTTTGGCTCTGGTCCGCCAGGCTCTGGATGCGTCGGTCCACAACGTCCAGATTCTGGATGGTCTCGTTCAGTTGGCCTGCACTTTAAAGAGGGCCACACAAAGAGTGCGGTTTAGGGTTTAGGGTGTTGGTTGGGATGTTCCCCCCTATACTAACAGTCCCTTTTTAAGGAGCTGTTCGGGAAAAGGGGGAACATCCTAAGGTGTTGGGTTCATTGTTCTGGACACTTGCCCTAGTACATTCACAGGCCGCGTTAAACAAACGAGTGACCCCAAAAAGGACCGCAGACTTTCGAGAGCTGACCATTTGGGATCTACGCATTCTACTCAGCCCAAGGCCGGACAACCCCCCCCCCCCCCCCCCAAAAAAAAAAAAAAAAGAAAGAATACAGGGCCCTCTCAACACCCGCAGGGTGGCTCAGACTTTGGAGGTTGTGGGGGCCTTCGAGGTAGTCCATGTGCTGGCTCATCTGATCGAAGTGGGCCGTCATCTCCTGAGCGATCCGCTGCCCCACCTCAGGGAGATGACGTGCTGCGGAGGCTCCGGAGGTTGCCCCCGAAAGCAAATATCTAAACACATGTGTAAGCAAACCTGCATGACTCTTGGTATGTTCAGAAAGACAGAAAAAACGAAGAGAGGGGCCAACATCGTGCGCCTGGTTGCATAAGCAGCCTCAGCCCCCAAGACCCTGAAGGCCCTCACAAGGTCCTCACAAGCTCAACTCCACCTTCTCGGTGGCCGCAGTGATCTGCGCATGGGTCCCATTGAGGATGCTATACTGCAATTCCCATCCTCAGCTGAAGGGCTGCTCAGACTCAGAAACCAGGTAGACGGCACAATAAGCACCGAAATTGTGGGATTGGCCGCCAACCTCAAAAACGGGCCTGCGATTACAGAATGCCCAGAATTATCAGCTCGTCGCCCCATGACGAGTTGGAGTATGAAGCTAAGCTACTTTCGCTGAAGCGCGGCATGATTCTGCAACTGTCACGCTCGCAACATTCTGGCAATGATCCCCTTAAGCGCGCTGGCCCGTGCCGTGGAACCACTGCAGTCGAAGTTCCCAAGTGCGAGCTCTAGCGCCCCCTGTGCCCCCGAAGGATGCTTGCTGCGGGCATGTTGGTGGCGCTTGGCTTCTCTTGTGTGGCATCCGCTTCGCGCCCCAGTCGCGAGACTCTCGAGATCTATCGAGGCTTTTGAGGGAAGGCCCCCCCCCCCCCCCCCCGGATGCCCCCTGTAGCGGGCAAAAAGCACCGCGACAAAAAAAGCCAGCGCTTGAGCTGCGTGACGGTCTTTCTCCAATTTCGCTTCGAGTTCGTTGAAGGTCTCATCAATCATCTCGCCTGTCCCACTCAAGATGGCCTCCTGTGCCTTGTCGAGGGCTTCCTCTTGTGACAGAAGGCAGAGAGGCAGAACAGTCTTGCCTGTGGACCATGTTCTCGATGAACTATCAGTGAACCCTACTAGTACAACCCCCAAGTCCTGCACGTTGGCTTGCATCTTCATCGTCTGCAGCTCTGCATTGCATTGCCTGCAATGCGCTCAATGCGCTTGCGGTATGTCAGATGCCCCCATGCATGCTGCAAAACAGCCCTCCCCCAACAAAGCGTGGGGGCGTGAGAGCCAACCATATGCCCCTATTGAAGTCTACCAGCCCCCCTCGTCGTGTTACGAGACCTGCCTTGGTGCCTTCATTTCCCCAAGCCCCAAAAACCACCAGGAGCAGATTCTCAGGCGAGATGCTGCGACTGCATCATGTAAGCCAGATTGGCGTTCTGCTTCTTCATGAGCTCATCCATCTTGCCCTTGATAGCTGCCTGGGCGACCAGGGGAAGTTCAGGGCACTTGCTTAGGGGCTGAATCCCCTGTAGCCCAAACGAGGTTAGCCTTTTTGATATTCGCCTCGGCTTCCTGCCGAGAAGCGTCTGGAACAAGCAGACCCGGATCGGGCCTCCTTCCCCCTAACCCAACCCTTCCCACCATGCAGAATTTTCTGACGGATCAGGGTCCATTGTAGGGGTCCCTCCTTATACACCTGAAAATTTTCCCGGAGTTTGGCCCCCCTATCTGTTCGACTGAGTCAAGCCGAGTCGCGGTGTCTGCAGCTGCGGCCTTTTTGACCGCATCCACCTGCTGCCTTACTCATGTCTGAAGCTGCCATATGACGACGAGGTTATGGCCTTATCATATGGCTAGCAATAAGGTGCTTCAACCGGCGTTGCTCGCGTCCGTGAGCATTCTTCTTGTGCCATCACACGCATGATTGTTTTGTTATTCTTGGTCTCTTGAACTTCCGGCCTGTTTTAGGTGGGCCTACTACACGCAGCGCACTTGAGTTTGCAGCCGGGTCTCCCCGATCGAGCGGCGGCTGCTTTCTCCCGTTCGTCGATCGCTTTCTGTCAGCAAGAAAGCTGCATCTCAATGCCATTCTCAACGCGACGCGCAAGTGCTTGGAGGATGGAGCAAATGGGTCGTTGGGGGGGGACGTTCTCTCTTTTTCGTTGTTTTTTTGGGGGGGTGGGGGGGGAGGGGGTGGGAATTCTTCGGGGGACCTGCCAATGCTCTGAACCTGCAGGCGCAGGCCCTGCTCCCGAGTGTGAGAGATCCTTTGAACAAGCCTCGAGGGCCCAACCCCTGAAAGGGTCTTAGGGCTTCGTCTCTAACATCCTAACGCCCATCCCAACTCAAGGACTAGACCGTCCACCCGGTGCTGCACATCCCCAGCCTGCATATCTTCGAAGCCGTCCTTTAGAGATGATGCCGTCGCTTTGAGTTCGTCAAGGTTTCTCTGCTGCAACTCTGCGAGAATCTCTTGCTGCTTGGACCTGAGCCCCGTTTGTCTTGCATCTTTCGTTCCCGCCATTCGGTGCATGGCTGCTATTCACCGGCCGGGGCTATCGTTCTGATTCATTGTCGCGCAAGTCAAGGTTTGTAGCTGCACAGAAGGGACACAGACACTAGCCCTAAGCTTGGATTAGGAGAGCAAAGGCGGCAAACTTGTGGCAATTTCCTGCCTCTAGTTTGGGCTTCGGGTTTAGGTTTCGAAGACCCTAGGTCCCCAATAGGCGGCTGTGTCTGACGGGCTTGCCTTGCATCACGCGGTGCCGCACAGACGCCACTCCAAACTCGCACTGCTTCTCCAGGACATGAAACCAACCAACTACTCATGAAACACCCACCCAAAAACCCAAAAACCTATTGGGCTCAGCACTTTCCGCATTCGAAGGGGGGGGGGCATTTGCACTAACATCGGCTCTGAGGTTTCGGTTAGGGCTTGGAGGGCTAACTACAGGGGCCCGAATGATTAGAATAGGTGGTTTTGTGCTTTTTTGGCGGCGGGGGGGGGGGGGGGTTATTCTAGGATAGCAACAAAGGGACCACACACAAGGGAGTACTATGAGTAGTTCTTCCGACCCCGATGTTCGGGGCCTTAGGGAGGGGCTGAACCCTAAACCCTAAACCCTAAACCCTTGTAAACCCTAAATAGAGGGGGGCTGAACAAAGGCTAGCAACTCGAAGAGCCCCTGCAGTTCTGCGAGACCCCCTCCGTGGCCAAAGGCCATCAGCTGCATCTCGCAAAGCCACTGGTCAGCTGAGACCTGGCAAGGGGGGTGGGGGGGTTAGGGTTTAGGGTTTAGGGCTTAGGGTTTAGGGTTTGGGGTTTGGGGTTCAGGGTTTGGGGTGTGCAGTTTGGGGTTTGGGGTTTCGAGGGGGGGGGGGCGGATCACATCATCGTCCGAAAGAAAAACCGACACCCGAAGCTTCATGGTGTGTCCTGGTGCCACACCCTCAGCCCATCTCAAGCCGAACAACCCAAGGGCGCATTCCCTCCTGTCCTTGGCACAGTACGCGTCCGCCGGCTCGCCTTCTTTGGCAATGCCTGGGACTTTAGGCATTGAGTTAGATTTCTTTCGGAGCTTCAAAATTGGGATTGCCCAGCTCCGTACTACGTCAGCTCAAAAGAACCCTTCAGTTGTGAACCTTCAAGGCCCAGGCCCCGAAAGTCAAGTGACTCAGGAACCGCTTAAAGAGCCAACGCTCCCGGTCCCAAGCTCCTAAGCAACCCAGTCCCAGGCACTCCAAGTTGGATTGGAACATTCCTTGACTTCTCTAAACCCTAAACCCTAAATCCGAAACCCTACACCCTAGACCCTAAACCCTAAACCCTAAATTCAATTAGACTTGTTTAAGTGCTCTCTAGCAGTCGGAAACGCTCTCTCGAAAAGGCTTGCCCGCGCTCAGGGAGTGGGGCACCCAGGTGCACGGGGGAGTCTGGTTGATTAGGTGGGTTCAATTAAGGGCACAACCCTCTCATCTGATAGATCGTGGCTTCTCACAGCGAGATGCACTCGTCCAGGCCCTCAATGTTCTCGTTTTCCGCAATCTTGGCGCATGTGCGGAAGAGAGTTGGGATCAGGTCGAGAGGAAATCTTGTTAACGTTGGGCTCAGGATTCAGCATTCGATTCAACCTTGACTTCAACAGGTCTTTCTGAGAGGTTTCTCCAAATCAGCTCAGGCAGCATTGGGAACCCACTGTGGGGTTTACGATTATAAGGCACCCCTAATATACACCCCCAAATAGTAGGATCCCCTTATAATAAGGACCCCAAAAAAGGTACTCCCCCTAACTAAAGCACGACGCATAAACAATCTCACGCGATCCCGAGGGTTGCGTGGCCAGAGTGCCTGCGGGGCTCAAAATAATCCAGAGTACCCGCTCTTGCGAGCCCTGACTAAGTAACATTGGGGCCTTCATCACTAGAATAGGGTTTTGGGGGTTCTTAGGGTTTAGGGTTTAGGTTAGAGTTTCATGATAAGGGGACACGAAGCGTAAAATACTAGTAATTGTTCCGACCCCCAAATTACCCTGACTGCAGGGGAGCCCAAGTCACCACGAAGCCACGCTCAACCACATGAGGCTATGTAAAACCCGAAACCCGAAACCCGAAACCCTAAACCTTAAACCCTAATCATAAAATATCGGTCCCCAGCAGCGTTTGGGCAGAACAGCTCCATTGCGCGAAGCTCGCATGTGAACTTCACGAAGGAGCTCTCCTGGGTCCCGTGGCGTCATGTGGGGGTTTCCGACAATCGGGGTAACCTTTTTTGGGGGGGAGGGTCCCTTAAGGGGATTAGGGGATTCTTATACTATGTGGGCTATACAAGGGGTACCATGCGACACGGGTCTGGGCTTTTTGGCTGACATGCGCAAAAAACCGTACTTAAGCCAGGGGGTGGTTCAAAAGAGGCAAGAGAGTCGTTGCTTGAGACCTAAAGCAGATTGTCTTGGTACATCACGCCAACCCTGAAAAGCTGGGTTGCGAGGACTGGCAAGGCAGGGGTCGGGCTTTGCGTTGTGCGCCAAACTCACCCCCGCCCTTTCTCATGCTCATGCTTGCTGAGGGGTGTACAGATCCTTTCCAGTCTTAAGATATCAAGTCTGAGGCCCTCGTCCGATCCCTAAAAGCCCCTAAACAGCACACCTGCGCATTGTACATCCGCCTGCTTCCAAGGCACTGCCATTGTCAGAGCCTTTTTGGCGGCATCCGAGCCCGCCGGGGCGAGGGTCGGGTTGCTGCTCAGGACTTGGGCCTCGCAGTCCTCCAAGGAAGAGGCAAACAGCGAAAGCCTAGGGAAGTGATGACGAGACGCGATGATGTTGATGATGGTGATGAGGAGGAGGAGGAGGAGGGTGATGAGGGTGATGAGGGTGACACTGTTCAGGATTATGATCAACGCAGACATTCACTGCTCACAAACACTTGCTGAAAATCCGTGGTCTGTGGTCAAGCTGGCCTGCGTGACCTGGAAAAGGCCTCCCTCAAAACAACAGCTACACCAGCAACCGGAAAAGGGACGTTCAGAAGCGCAAGAACATCACCAAAAGCCAGCAAAAAACATGTCTGGGAACCCATAGATCTCCTACTGTGCCTCCAGAACTAGAGGAGTCTGCAACACAGGTTTGGAAGAACCTGGCCGCAAAGCAACAGGCCAAGAAAGCGAATAGCACTCTGATAGCCCCTTCGTCATCATTTAGCCTGCTTGTAAGTTCATGGATACTTCTACAAGTAGGGCGACAAGTACCCTAAACATGGGGCATGACTGTCTAACCCTAAACTGACCCCAAACTTAATAGCCCTGCTTACAAGCGCCCAAGAACCAGTTGCCACTCTTGTGGGTCCTGGTCCCCGTTGCATTGCAGGCGAGCCCTCTCGGCGGCACCCTGCAGCTCCGTCGCTGCCCCACACTGCGCGTCGGCCTTCGAGTCGGGTCGGGGCAGCTTCTTCCGGACGGACATGGCCTCAGCACCATAATCCCCCTTTAGAACCTTAAAACAAAATATATGTTGAATACCCTCTTGGGTTGTATCTAAACAAACATAAAGAACAATTCCCAAGAGGGATATAGAGCATCCTATAGGCTCAGAAGAGGCCCCCCCACGGCTTTAAGGTGACTTCATCCCTTTTAATTTTTGGGGCCTGAACCCCTAAATGCAAAGGAAGCAAGGGGGGGGGAGGGGAGGCGAGGGGGCGTCTGTGGCTCTACCAGCATGCGCGGGGGCTTCAGGGACGCAACGGCCAACGCTTCTTCTTCTCTCCGCAGAGTGGTGCCCGTTTGCGACTATGCTGAAAGGCTCGAGAGCTTGGGGACGAAGAAGAAGCAACTTGAGGGAAATAGGGGTACCCTTTTTGGGAGTCCCTTCAAGGGGATTCTACTCTATTTGGGGTAACAACAGGGGTACCCCCCACTTTGGGAAGCTTCGGAGGATGTGAATGGGGCTTGCGGGACGAGTTTTGGGGAAGTTGGAGGGCTTTCGGGTCCAGCAAATGCGCTGGGCGCTGAGTGCGCTTGGAGGTTCATGGTACTTGTTCACCAATTAAAACTGTACTCTTACCTGTACTTATAACTGTACTTATAACGGTACTAGGGCACTTAAGGGGCACATGGGCTATAAGTACAGTTATCATTGGTTAATAAGTACCATGAACCTCCAAGCGGGGACTTGTAGGGCCCAGGGCGCGTAAAGAAAACCCTTAATCTGCCCTAAACCCTAAACCGTAAACCTTGCACCCTAAACCCGAAACCATATGCAGCAGAGTCGCCACTTTGTCGCCCCGACAGTTCGTCACGCCCTTGCCGATGTAGCAGACCCCATTGGCCATTCTTAGATTTGACATCACTTGGGGGTTTGTACGATATTAGGGGGTGCCCTTTATCGAATTTGGGGTATATTCGGGGCAGCCCCTATTTTGGGAAATGCCCAGTAGCCCAAAAGTCGCTCCGTTCTTCGGTCTTCTTCCGGTTTTGTGATGGCCCGATGATGGCTGCAGTAAACGTCTGCTGACAGCTTGCTACAGGAGGCCTTCTGTTTTTTAGAATTCGGGTGTTGGGGGGGATAGTATCGTATAATCTTAAAGGCATAAGGGAACACTTTTAGTATTTATTCCGACCCCTAAATTACAGGCCAGGAAGGTTTATTGGGGCCATGGCGCACATGTGCATCTCAACAGGCTCGGAGCACATGCTTCAGCCGCCGCGCGGATGCAAATGGTGTCTACGGAGGGTTGACCAGGGTTGAATAAACTGGCCGGCAACTCCTAGGCACCCATCACAAACCCCGTGGATGATGTGTTCCTGCGGGGTTTGTGATGTTCCAGCGGGGACTGTGACAAAAC